ATATTATTGCCAAGATAAAGAACCCATTCCTTGATTCCTTTACATAGCCAGTTATTAAAACTCTAAATTCACCATTCAACCAAAAATTTGATCTCATGACTCTCATAGAAGGTGACTTAATTCGATCAAAAACGCTATAAATTATAATCGTAATTGCTTATATCAGCTAAAAGAGTATGTATTCATTGAATGAAAAAAAACATGGTAACTCTACCACTCACACGCAATAAAGATTTTCAGCGCAAACTCGCTTAAGTTTTGAAATTATCGCCTAAATTAAAATAGAAATTAAGTTTTTCGCACTTTGTAACTACTATTTTTATTGTTATTTTCGCCGTTGTCTTTCTAACAATTTTAATTGTTTATTATTCGTGTTTTTATGCTTGCTGTGCGCACAAGCAAATGAACTCTTGAAACTAGAGTGTCATTGTATATAATTGTATTTATTGCGACTTTCCTGAGAGTCAGTACGTAGATGAGTTTTACAATAGCCACAAAGCTGAAACCTGACCCGCTTCGCTTTTGGCTGAGAATTTTGGCTAAAAAGCATTCACAGCGTTGCTTACTGTTTACATGCGAGTACACTACATACATATACATAGTATGTTTGTGCATGAATGTTGCAAATATAGCAATCAAATGGCAAAATGAGCCACCAGCAACGTAAACCGTCAACTGAGTCGTAGACAGCGGATACCACCGCCTCAGCAGCTCAACAAGAAGTCACCAACCTACAAATTTACTCGAAACCACAAATTCAAAGATATGTAAATATGTAGGTATGTTAAACCATGTTGAAACTGAAGTACAGTTGTATTTCACATTAATTAACACGGTTTTAATATAACAGTAAAAAAATAAGATAATTTTTTCAGCACTTTTACGCAATTGTAGTAAGTCTTTTGCCACTCACTTAAATTTTTACTGTCTGCGAATGCTACACACTCCAGGAAGACTTTTCACTTCACACTTTCGAAACGTGCGAAAAGTAAGTTATTTTTAAGCATTTTTTAAGTATATTTCTACTGCATTGCGAAGAAATCCTTTTTCTTAATATCATTCAGTGCATTTTGTGCAAAGGATTTGCTAAAGAATAAAAAATCACCAGTAAACCCGCATGGCGTTAAAACGCCCAAAATTGAATTTCAAAAACTTAAAAAATATTCCAAATGTTAGTCAGGGTTATAAAAGATCCGAGTGCTATATTTGATCAAAACCGTGCAGCCGTTTCTGCGTGAAGATCAGTCTCGGATAGTGCATGTTTTTATTTTCAACGAATGTCAAATCACCCCATACCGATGAAAAAAGTTACTAATTAAAAAAATAAACTTTATCATACATCTGCAGGGCAGGGTCTCTAATTTGACCCCTCATTTTTGAAATTCCTTTTCAAAAGTATTCTCAAACTAAAATCCTCTCAAATCTCTTTCGTCTGACATTGTGTTACACATGTATTTCAATAAACTGATGAACTAATTCATTGGATTAGAGAATGAAATAAAATCAAAAAGGTTTTTTTTTATTTTTAAATAATTTTTTCACTAGTTGTTGCATATTTCAAGCGGACATATGCATATGGGGCGTTTCATACCAAAATGGACGGGGTTTGCACTTCATGTGTTTGATTTGTTTCAAATTTTTAGGGTTGATGGATAAACATAAATAACAAATAAATATGAAATTTTAAAACTTTACAGCACAAAAACAAATCGATTTAAAAGTTTTCCAAATATCTGGAGAATTTTTTTAATTTTTTAAGAATTTTTTTGAGTATGCAGTTTTGTAGCCAATTCTAAAAAAAATTGAAAAAATTAGTAAACTTGGAATGTACTCATTTTACTCAACTTCGGCGTAGAAAAAAAAATAATAACACAAATTATTGTAGAGTGCACCCCGTAATAATTTACTTAAATATTGCGTAATACTCAGAGCTACCATTGTGTTTTTTTTTTCAATTTTCTTTGATGTGGCATATTTTCAAAAACTAATTTTTTTATCAAAAAGTTTGTATGTGAAAAATTTTTCAATAAAAAAAGTTTAAAGAATATTTCTTTTCATAGAGAATTTTGATGTGTGTATGTGTGATTTTTTTAAAACTTTTCCCTCGCTCCGTTCTGGAGATATTTGGAAAACTATTTAAATCGATTATTATTTTTTGGTTAAGTTACTATATCGCGAACCGTCTTCAAAAGAGTCACAACTCAAAAGAATACGTTTGTCAGAAAATGCGAAAACTATTACTTAGCACATGATAATCATACGGACAAGGGCGACTTTACCTTAGGTTTTTTTTTAACAAATTATTACAAAAATTTGCTTTAGCTTTTGCTGAAGGGTACATTTTTAGCGCATAATTTCAAAAATGCCAAGTTTTGAGTTGTGTCTTTTTTGAAGACGGTGTGCGATATGTTTTCAAACTGAATATACATATACATATTTCGCTCCGTTATGAATTTTAACCCTTTAACATACAATATTTGGAGGTTACGAGGTTACACTATATTTGTCCTGAGTTGGAATAATTCCGCACCCATCCCTTTGTTACACAGTGGGATAATTGAAGAGAGACCACTACACCCAGAAAATCGACAAAAATCTAACACCCAAATTCATTCAGGGGCTGGAGTTCTAGCTTTAATTTAAGCCTAAGTGGAAAGTTCCATCACCTTTTGTTTCTTTCCTAGAGCTTCCCAAATATAAAACCTTGAGTTAAAAAAAAAAATACTGTTGTATGGAAATTGCCGCATATGTGGGCGGATTTGGTTTATATTAACGCCTTATACTAATGTTCACTAAAGAAGCTTGTGTTCCAAATTTGAAGCCTCTAGGTTAATTTTACTATATATGGCCAGCTTTTTCGTAGCCAGCGTTTTCCCACTGTGCAATGGTGTCATTTAGCCCAACTTTAAATATAGAGCAGATTTTATCTCCAGTAGACAAGGGGGCGTGGCACCTCCCATACAAGAGTACTGGAACTTGGTATGGCATGGTGATATGTAAAATCAATTGAGTAGTCCACTTGCAAAGTGCGCTATGTGAAATTTTTTCGATTTTTAGTTTTTGGTGGATTACGTACCAGTATTTTAAGTAGCTTCATGTCCACTAACAACACAGTACAAAATCTTTTTATATTCTGAAAAAATAGCATCAAATGTTAACTCTTCTTCCAAAAGTCGCTATCATACTTATTTATAAACTTTCAAAAGTATCCATCTTCTGATGAACTTAGAAAACTGCTTTAGGTCGTATAGAATGTTAATGTTATCTTATGTCATGTTATGCTATGTTATAATTTTATAAGGGTCTTATTTATCCAAATTTCCAGGTAATAATAGAAAACATTCAATTTAAATGTTAGTTGTTGTCGTAGTCGTTTTTTCAAATTTATGGCTTTCTATTATAAAATCACATAATGCTGTTTGCAAGTGGACTACTCAATTAAATACTCATAGAGAGCCGCCACATCTTAAAAAAATTAAAATCAATTTGAATTAAGGGAATTATATATTTGAAATTTATATTTCAATTTAAGTGTTAGGCGAAAGAGGCTTAAAAAGGTTGTAGTTTCAAAATATATTGAAGAGGTTGCCACCTGTTTGAAAAGTCGAATTCAAGTAAATCGTTCGCAAGCTCTTTATATGGAAAATTTACATATGGGTCTCATACGAAAAATTGTTAAGAAACCTTAAGATTGAACACTTAGAATATTATTGTAGTGTTTACAGGGGATGCCATCTGTCTAAAAATTTAATTCAATGAATTTAAATGCATTATTATAATATGGGTATTAATCGAATTGATTTTGAAAAAGCTTTATTTTTAAACTACATAAAGGAGGGTTGCCACCTTTTTTGAAAAATCAAATTCTACTTAAATTAGGTGAAGTAGGTAATTGGAATATGTATCCCAATATAGGTGTCAGGCATTGTGAAAATATTTTGTAGTGTGTTGCCAGCTATTTTAAAAGATGAGTTTAATGAAATTATATGCAACTTAAAGTGTCAGACGCAAAAGTGTTTAGAATTCTTTGCTTTAAGGTGCTTGAATAGGGTTGCCACCAATTTTAAAATTATATTCAATTAGTAGGTTAAATAATTTATTACAATATGGGTATCAATCGAAATGGCCTTGGAAAGGTTTTATTTCTAAGCTACTTGTAGCATGGTAGCCATCTGTTTGAAAATCAAATTCAACGAAATAAATTTAAGAAGGTTTAAAAAGATAAAATAATAACTTTACTGATTTGAACGATTATTGCAATATGGCTATCAATCAAAATGCGCTTGAAATGGCTGCATTTCTAAACTACATACGGCATGATTGCCACCTGTTTAAAAACTCTAATTGAGCCTTAACTAAGCGAATAAAGAAATAGAAAATCAATCATAAGAAAAAGGTTTAAGGAAGTTTTAGTTTGAAAATATTTTGAAGAAGCTTAAAAGAGAAATTTAAGACCTATGTATATTTTTCGCCGAAATTAGGTATGTAGATATGTTGAGTTTTAATCTACCACGCAGAAATTTATACACTCAGTGAAGCGGGTGAGGGCAATCTAGTATGTGTTATTATAAGCTAGTTGAATAGGAGAAGATCGAATGGCCCAAAGTTTGCAGGGACTTCAGAGACGGCCACTTGAATGGTTTTGTGTTAAACACAAATGCCAAAGAAGTATCTATAAATTTATTTTTGTAAACATAAAACTGATAACCTCTATCAACTTTAACGCTTTTTCTCAGCTAAAAAGCAAGTCGCTTTAGCATCTCATCTGTCCAATAAATGCCATATATGGACGCTTAAAACTTTTGTCGATCATTTTACATTTTTTTCCACATAATTTAAGTCACACTTGACGCCTACAAGGAACAACATTACACGAAATCAACTACGTTGTGCTTACGACTGACTTAATACATTTTATTTTTCAAGGGCTGATCTCATCTTATTGCCAGTGGGCATGATCTTCGAGGTGTAAAGAAAATGCAAATTCATAACACTTAAGTTTTCGTTATACTCATTATTATTAAAATGTTGAGCAATTTTAATTCGTTTTTTACATACAATTCGTTTTTATATTTGGATATGTGTGTGTCTATACATAAATATGATTTTCGTTAAATAGGTATTAGGGGTATATATTAAATGAGTTAATTAAAATAAATTTCTCTTTTAGACACATTTCATTATTTTAATATTTTGACGTTTGCATCGTTTGATTTTGCTATGCACTATGTGCAGTCGTTTGTTGCATATTCGAAATTATTAAAAATCAGTCAATTTTTTTTATTCGAGTGAAGTAGTATACAGGGTGTCTTAATACGGTTACCAGCTGCATTTGTAGCATATAATTCATTCATTGTGATTTGCGAGCAGATTTGGTTGCGAAAAGCTATGAGCAGCGTAGGCGTAAATCGCAAGCTGTGATAATTTAATTGCGGAACATTGTTTCGATATGTCTGTGTTGCGAAACTCGTAAGTGGTTTTAAGAAAAAAAATCGTAGTTCTCATTGACTCCCGCTAGTGTCTCCACCGCCAGCCAGCTAGTACGCATAACACAAAAACAACCACGCTAACCATTTATCTCCCCTGCACCGAGCAGCTGCTCAACGCCAGGGTATTTTGATCGGTGAACGTGAACGCCTCTGCGTTGACACCAGCACACGCTGTTGTGGTTGCTGTTGCTGCTGCTGCTGCTGCTGTTGTTGTTGCGAACGATTCTGGTAATTCGCGCTGCCACCGGCTACGCGCAGCACTTGCGGTTGTGGCAAACGACTCATCGACGTCGGATACCCGCTTGCGCTGCCGCCCGCACCGCCAATAGTTGAGTGAACTGGCGTGCGACCCATGGAAAATGTAGTCGTTGAAATCATTTTATTAACGTTGGCGTTGCCATTGGCAGGATGCAGCGTCGCGTCACCAAAAAAAGTGTGCTTTGGCTGTTGAAGTTTGCGCAGCGCCGGCTGCTGATCCGTGGTCGATCTTGATGTCATTGCCGGTGTCTGCTTCAACAGTTCATAGCTGCTAAGCGCGTTCATTTGCAAGGGCGTGGCAAGTGAGTGACGTGTGCCGGGTGTGTTTAGGCGCTTCTGCAATATGGGCGAACCGCCCGCCACTCCGCCACCACCCAGCTGTATGCGCGTAGAGAGGCGACTACGTTGCAGCGGTGAACGCTGCGCTTGTTGGTTGAGCGCTGGTTTTACATTAGCCTCGTTGCATATTTGTACCAAAGTCTGGTATCGGCCACCTGCTGTTGTTGGCGCGCTGGCCTTAACAGCGCTGGAATAGCGCACAGGCGTGACAGTGATCGGCTTGCCCCAGTTGTGCAGCGGTGACTTGTCGCGGGCGCTTAATTTACTGGGCTTGTTCGCTTGTGTGAGACTCGCTGTGATGCTGGCTGTGCTGCGCGCTGTTGCACTTTGATAATTGTCCTGCGCGTTGTGCCGCGACGGCATGGGTTTAGCTACACCGACTGGCACTACACGCGGTGGCATGTTTGGCGATATGGAATTTTTGATTTCAATACGTATTGACCCCGCCGTCGCTTCAGGTAGTTGTGTGCCGCCCTTGTGGCGCTCTGTACTGGCTTTGATCGTCTCAAGCGTAGGGCGCTCCATGCGGAAAGTCTCGTTGCGTTTAACGGGCGAGCGACTTATTGCGCGTGATGTGCGCTCTTTGTTGTCACGCACTGGTGAGCGTGAATTAGGACGGTAATTTTCATTCGCAAAAACTAGGAAGTCAGGACGATTTTCCTTGGATTCCCAACGCGCGTGTGTCTCCACTTTCGGCGGTTCAACCTCCACAAACCAGGCGGGGTTGTGCGCGGGGTTTTGTTGGTTCTGTAGAAATTTCTCACGAAACGATTTGCGAAAACTATTCAGCGTTACTGTCTTATACTTGTCTGCGCTTGATTCCTGTTCGGCCGCCAACTCTTCATCCTCGTGCAGGTCCGCCTTGGTTTGCGTCTTCAGCTGGGAGAGCTGCTCCTTTAGTTGAGTGGGTATTTTGCCTTTACGATAGGTGGACGAGTCGAAGGGCTGATTCTGTGTGTTTGAGTTGGAACTGTGCGAGGAATGCACGGAGTCGTTACCGTTACTGCTGCCCTGGTGCATATCCTTCAGGCTGGAATGTTGCTCGTATAGGAAATTAAAAGGGTCCGACTGCGAGTCATAGTCCAGTGTATGCGACGAAGTCGGACCATCGGCTTTCCACTTGTAATAGGTGTTCGTTGCATTATCGCTGGGATGGTGTTCCAGAGGGTCGACGATCTTCTCAGGTGTCGGCGTCTTTTTGCGCTTAGTGAATGTAGCAAATTTGCTGAGCACTTTAGACTTCTTTGACTTCTTCTCCAACGTCGAACTATTCGACGAGTTATGTTTGCTCTGCTTGTCCTCCTCCTCTTCGTCGGAATTGAGTATGAAGGTGTCGCTGCGATTTAGTAGCGAATCTGCGCGTGAGTCAATCGATTCGCGACGTGTTGAGGTTGTGCTGCGTGCCGTGTGCGTTGTTACGTTGCTGGCCACGCTGCCGGGGCGTGAACTCGTCGTCGTATTCACGGGCGTGGTATCGCGCGATGAACTCTTACTGCGCGCCTTTGCGCGGAAATTGCGAAAGAACGACATTTGACTCGCGCCTGCGTGCACAACTAAGTAGCGCTTTTAAGAATAAATATGCGTAGGCGGCGCTCAAGTCAAGTGATTAACGACGAGTTAAAGTGGCTCTACAAGCNTTTGACTCGCGCCTGCGTGCACAACTAAGTAGCGCTTTTAAGAATAAATACGCGTAGGCGGCGCTCAAGTCAAGTGATTAACGACGAGTTAAAGTGGCTCTACAAGTGAGCGCGCAAACTCAATTATTATTGCGCCGCTTTTACGGCGATGCACAATTTCTTTGTCGAGTAGATAATTACAGCAATTATAAGTAATTTATCGTAATTTTAGCTGCACTACCGTAAATGGGTGCCACCGCGCGTCTAAATGCTGTCCGAGTGTTTGTCGCCCAACTGAATGCTTGTTGATCGTTTTATAATTTAACTTTTTTTAATAAATTTTTCTTTGTCATCGATTCGTTGTACTTTTCTGCGACTATTCTCTACCGCAACGCTACTTCGCCTCGCTTCGAATTCAATTCAAGTATGCGCTTTTCACGCGTTCACAAGCCGTCCGTTCCAAGTCTTAACACGCCCGCTGCGCTCAAGCAACTGAGCCAGGTTTCGCCGCCGCCGCCGCGGTCGGCTAGCAACTTGGCAAAAATAATTATTTTGTATCTCGTAGCTAGCGTGTGGAAACGTGTTTTAGCCGCGGAGTCGACAGAGAACCCGAAATCGGCAAAACACAAAACTCGAATTTCAACGCTAAATGTGGAGCTCAGAGCGCAGAACGCAGAATCGCTTTGACTGCTGCTAAGATTTTTTGTTGTTATTAGATATTATAGCTACGATGATTTGCAGCAGTCGTTCGTGATCAGTTGTTAAACTGCCGCTAACGTTTTTATTGTGGTTTCCCACCGCCGTTAGTCGTCGTCCACCGCGTTCGCTGTCTGAGGCTGCGCGCGACGCTCTGCCGCTTCAGACTATTTTGANCAGCAGTCGTTCGTGATCAGTTGTTAAACTGCCGCTAACGTTTTTATTGTGGTTTCCCACCGCCGTTAGTCGTCGTCAACCGCGTTCGCTGTCTGAGGCTGCGCGCGACGCTCTGCCGCTTCAGACTATTTTGACCATTTTCGTGGCGCGAACTTAATGATGACGTTGATGAACGGCGGGCGGTAATGTTGTATTTAAATGTACTTTTTTAACCTTTTTCGCGCTGCGTTTTAGCCTTGTTGTTGTGCTGCCTTGAATTGTATTAACTTTTGCGGAGGCGTACCAGAGCTTATAGTCTTCGCGGCGTGTCTGGCGGGAGTAATTCGAGTTACGATTTTTTTGTTCACTTTTCGTTCATGCTGTGTATTTGTTTGTGTGTAGGTTTCTATTATTTTTCTACAAAAACACAATTTCAGTTCATTTCGTGAGTTGTTTTTGTGTGTGTTTTCTTTCTACTATTTTCTTCTTTTTGACTGACAACGACAACATTGCATGCTTTTCTTTGGCGCTTGTTTAACTGCTCAGTAAACGGAGTAGGGCCCATTTAACTATGTATGCAACATACGGGTACACGATATGCTGTTATGTGTACATCTACTTTATAGGTTTCATGATTACCATAGCTTTTTCACTTTTCTTCAGCGTGCACACTTGCATAGTTACTTACACACGGCCATACATATGTATGTTTCTTTGTCAATTTGTGCCGGAATGTCTAACATGAAGTGCACTCTAATTAGACATGAAAAGCAGTTCATGTGCACAATAATCATGGCTTAATTGTGTTTGCAGCGAAAACCATAAAAAAATGCACCACCTATGTAAGATCGACTTTGAACATTTTGACGATCAAACGCTTTATGATCAGTTAGATTATTAGGGGTGAACTTTTTGCACACAACTAGGCTATGTTACCCCACGTCTCCATTTTCTACTAAATGTGTCTTAACATCTGTCAAATTTCTGTTTTAACTTTGTCCCGTTTTCTCATGTGGGCAACTTACTGTCTTAACATATCCCTTTCAAAATGGCATCAAGCCAATCAGATCGATCTGTACCCAAAGTAGATGGCGCGGTAAAATGAAAACTGAGTTGTCAAACTACGAAATGACAGCTGATGTTAAAACAGCAATGGTAAGAAATTCGGCAAGACAGATATGGTTTAACAGTGAAAATTTGCGGTCTCCACTTGACATTTCTGTCTTAACACAGATTTTTTAACAGAATCTGTAGAAGGTGGAGACTTGGGGTTAGGTTATGTTGGAAGGAGGCCGCCATTGGTGCCTTGTAATACCGTAAAAGCGAAGACCTTTATCCTCCCTTTCCGTAGAAGTGAAACCAATTAGTCGTTGATACAGATTGTGCTACTAATACGGGTATTATAACTGTGAAAGTTTGTGAGTGAATATATTTCAATGAATATTTGTATAAGACAGGTTAGCAAATCGGATATTTGTTGACAAGAATTTCCACCTTTTGCAAAAGTCAAAATCAATTAATATATCAAATAAAATAATACAACAATGTGGGTGTCAAACGAAAGCGATTCTAAAATGATTTATTTCGAAAATGGTTACTTCCTGTTAAAATAGTTAAAGTCAATTAATTTAATAAGCTCAATAAAATATAACAACAGTGTTTTTGAATAATGAAACGGGTTCAAAAACGATTTATTTCCAACATATTATTTTAGGGGGTGCCACCTGTGTGGCAAAATCAGTTCAAATTATAAGTAAAATAAAAATCTCTAATGTGGGATATAAAACGAGAGATTTTCCGCATGTTTGGAAATTCAAGAGAGTTTAAGGAAAGATTTATTTTTAAAAGCTTAGAAATTAAATTTTTTAGAGGATTGTCACCTTTTCAAAAAGTTAAAATAAATTTCAAAAGCAAGTTAGATAAAATATTTTAAAATGGGAATCAAACGGGAGAGGTTTTAAGAAAGTTGCATCTACTTCGAATACCTTTTTGCCGAGCATTGCCACTAGTTTAGGTATTTAAAATCAATTTAAATGAAGTCCTACTATTTATTATTATAAGTGTGAAAGTTTGTACACGAGTATGTGAGTAAACTCGGCTGAAGGTTTTTTACGGCCTGGATTAACAACTAACATAATTTTTTAGAGGATTTCCACCTACGTAAAAAGTTAAATTCTATTTTAAGTTATAAGTGCAATGCTATTTCACACTACAGATTGATAAGATTTAAGAAAGCTTTAATATCAAAATATTTAAAAAAAAATTGCTAGCTATTTAAAAATTGTAATTCAATTTTATCAATAAGTTAAATTAAATGAAGTGTTACGATATGAGGGGCCAACGAAAGCTTAATTTTTAAAATATTTTGAAGAGAGTTGCCACCTGTTTAAAAGTCGAATACGAATTCTTCGAAGGTTTTCATAAGGATGTCAAATGACTTTTAAGAATTCCTTATTTCGAAAGTATTTTTGAAGGGAGCGGTACGCCTTTAAAAGTTTTATTAAATCTAATAAATACAAACGAAAATAAAATAAACGAAATAGGTTGGGGAAATGTATATATCGAAAATATTTTTAAGAGAGCTGCCACCTGTTTTAACGTTCTGTTCCATTTAAGAAATAATATAAAATTTGTGACAAACGAAAGATGTTTATGAGAGCTTTATTACAACGGTTTCGAAGAGGGTTAAATAAACAGTTGGGTGTTATTATTGGAATCTCTTGAAGAGAACCAGAGTTTTCCGATCGAAAAATATAGACTTTCAAGAATTCTATACCATTTCTATATTTTTTTTTTCATATAAAATATATGAAAAACTGTGAGCGCTTTGAGCGACCTTTTTTATATATATATGTATATATATATATATATATATATGTATATATATTTTTTTTCCAAAATATAAAATAGGGGCATTTTTTGATATAGAACAATCGTTGGAGAATTTTTGGACAATTTGGGGCTTCAAACTCCATTTTTTCCTAAAGCTAATTTGGTGGTGTATGTGGCAGTTATAGCCTCACTGGGGCCGTCCTCTACATTGAGCCGTCAGACTGGCTTTCTGTCCATCGTGGCGACCAAATGTTTCAATGCCTACGAGGGAGTGAGCGTACCATTATTCAGCGAGGAAAGCTGGAGCTGAGCCACCTTCTTTTTTTATGTTTTTTGAAGTCCAAGATCAAGTTTACACAACACACAAGGCATAAAACTTGATAATGCTTTCGCATTACCGCCAGCGCGAGCTCATCAGCGTAGGCGATTACAAGGTGGTTGGTGTCGTATGGAAAGCCTTCACAAGCCGTACATGTGTATGGTATATCGCCACCGAGTGTGGATGGGTAGGGGTTAGGTCTGCTAGAGTATTCAAATCTTTTGATCTGCGATGGGTGGTGGTGGGATGGTAGTAATTAGCATAGAGCGAGCCAAAGAAAACTACGATTTCGGTCTTGGCGGCATTTAAATTCAGACAGTTGGATTCCATGGAAGGAAAGAAGGGCTAACCTCCAACTCAGCGGCTCTGACGATTCGTGAAGTGGCTCTTAAAAATTCCATCAGGGTACAATCAAGCCAGAGTTCTACTAGTGGCTTGACGATATTAAGGGCTCCATTTAAATCGGGGAAGAAAACCTAAAATAAATACCTTAAAAGCAATAGCTCTTTGAATTTAAGAAACATATCCACGAGAAGTTTTTTTCAAGGACCTAAGATGGCTTATTGGTCTAAAATCCTTAGCGTTGACTTAGAAGACTTACCCTTTCCTTAATTTACTCATTTGGAGTATGGCAGACACTGAGATATCAAAAATTAAAAGAAAATTAAATAAAAAATAAATAAAAATAAAAATAAAAATAAAATATATACAAAAAAAATTAAAATAAAATAAGTTTTTGAAACGCTAAAATATAAAAATGAAAAGAAATAAAATAGCTAAAAGAAGAAGTAAAAATTTAACTTTCTAAAACTTTAAAGAATTTCAAAAAATATTTTTTAAACAATAAAATCTAAAAATAATTTTAAAAAGTACAAAAATAAAATAAGTTTCTAAATATTAAATACATACCTAAATATACACATATTTTTTTTCAATTATAAAATTAAAAAATATAAGAAAATTATACTAAAGAAAGAAAAACCTCGGATCTCTCGAAATGTTTCTGCTGTTGAGTTCTAAGGCTCCTGTTTATAAAAAATACAAAAACAATATAGTCGTAATTTTATTTTAAACATGATTTTGAGATCCGTCGAGAGGATATTTGTATTATCTTAGACTGCCGCTTTTCTAAGGCTTTAGTTTGTAAACTTCGAATTTTAATTTAACTAAATTTTTCATATCGGGATTACCCTAATATATCAATTAAAATGTATTCAATATATACGTGGCTTACTTCAGGTGTTGCCATAACTATTTCAACTGCAATTTGATGGTCTGCAACGTCATTTGCTGTAGACGCGCTGAACAACTTAGTTTCCTTTTTTGGTAGAAGATCAGATTGTTGGTGCGTGCTTAAACTTAGAACTCCGTATTGACGGTCAACGTGCACTGAAAATTCAGTCCAACACTCACCACAAATGGGTAAAACGACATTTTAAGCAGTAAACAATGGTAAGGCGAGTCTGTCAGTAAG